TTGAAAAAGGGAGATTACAACTTGAAGGGGGTAAATGCTCATGTCAAGTACAAGCAAACAAAAGTAAAAAAAGCAAAAAATAAGAAATAAGCGCTGTCGATCACCCCATGTGAAAATTCTGCAACTTACCTGAGGGTCAATTCCCGTTCTACGTTTTCGTGAAGTGAAAAGTATTAAATTAACATCGATATAAATGCGGTGTAAAAGTGTTACTTTTATCACTTCGCAATAACGCAGAACTAGAATCGACCCACTGACCTCTTAACCGCAGTTAAGCTTTTGATGGGAATAGGCTATGAGTAAGTATTAGGCAATTTAAAATAAAACAAAGTTTAAGTAAGAAAGTTCAAAACAAAACAATGTATTCATGAATTTTTCTTAAACTTATAAAATATTTTCGCGGCATCAATTTGCTTTTCGCGGGTTAACGTGAATAAACAAGGAGGTAATTCTCTAGTATAGGGTAACACCCCCTAAAAAAGGTCCGGAAAAGTGGGGGGGGGGGTACCAAACNACGACGCGTTTCGGTTTCCCTATTAACAATCTATTAAAAGTTATAAATAAAAAACTTTTGTTAAATTTCGATGTTTTCTATGAGCAATTACCACGTCAAAAATGTACTAAATCACCAGTTTCTACTTTTAAAACACTATTAAAACGTCTCCGGTTATTGTTTTATGCAAACAAAATCATTGATTTACTTTTATTTTAAATATTTCGTTAATAAAACAGAGTAAACAAACTTTGCGCTTGCCAAAATTATTATAACTTCAAATCGCTGGTATTGCCACTTTATTTCACATTTCATTTGCGCTATTATACTCAGTTTACACTATACACTTCTTCTTTTTTTACTTACACCTAAATAAAATATTCTAACCAAAATATAATAACAAATTTCGCTATACCATGGCAGCGCTACTTTTATAGTTTACAGTTATTTATCGAAGTATTGATTTTTATGGGAAAAGCGCCGCAGACGAAAATTTTTAATAAAAAATGGCGCGATTTTTAATATATATAAAATATTTATTTATATATATATATATATCGAAAGAAGATACCGAAAAGCATTGAACACTGCACACACCTTGTAAGGAAAAGTGAATTATTACAAAATACTAATACAGTGACAGCACTATAGCTATTTTGTAATCTCGCGTTTCAGTTCGCAAAGATTGTCAACTTCTTTTTAGTAACAAAATAATCTATCTTAGGTTGATAAAACCATGTGTTTGTTTAGTAATTAAGTTAAATTATTGGGAAATGTTTAGTTATTGGCCCATCGTTTTTGGAATGGGGGGCGGAGGGGGAGGGGCGTGGCCCCCCAAACCCCCCTCATTCGAAAGGGGCCAGTCGCCACTTTACGAAAAGCCCCACCCCCCCTTGGGGACCTCCCACAGACCCCTAGGGAACCGTTTGAAAATGGGTTAAAAACGGCATTTTCCGAGGCAAACTGAGCAGTTTGAAGTGGTATATAACCCAACTAACAGAATCTGTGGGGTTTTTAAATAAAAGAAGTTATCCCAAGGTGGTTATCAGGCGAAAAAAGGAGGGCTAAACACCTTTCGCAGAGAACACCTTTGTGCGTAGGCGGCCTTCGGCCGCACTTAGGGATTATAACCCTCAGGCAGTAGAATTCTCCTTTCTGTGTAGCCAAAGAAGGGGGGCTGAACACCTTTTGCAGAGAACACCTTTGTGCGTAGGCGGCCTTCGGCCGCACTTAGGGATTATAAACCTCAGGCAGTAGAATTCTCCTTTCTGTGTTGCCAAAGAAGGGGGGCTGAACACCTTTTGCAGAGAACACCTTTCTACGTAGGCGGCCTTCGGCCGCACTTAGGGATTATAACGCTCAGGCAGTAGAATTCTCCTTTCTGTTTTGCGAAGAAAAGGAGCTGAATACATTTTACAGAGAACACCTTTGTATATTTTTAATGCTTACAGGGTTATATCCTATTTTCTTTTGTCTCTCATTCTTTTGCATATTTTGGAGTTTGACAGCTGAACTACGCCATTTAATTTGCATATGCAACAAAAGTCAGACGCATGATTTAGAAGGTGTTTTTATTTAATAAATTGTGATCAATTGGTTAATATTAAAGTTATAAAGAAAGTTATAGCTCATCGAGTAAAGTGTAAAGTGAAGGAGAATATAAAAATATATTGCTGATTTAGCTGCTTTAAGGAGAATAGGAGTGATAAATTTACGCTAATTTGCGAATTTTACAAAAAAGGGCATATTTCAAACCCAATTTGTAAATAAATTAGTGACCCAAAATTACAATAGTGGATGTTAAAATAATGGGTAGACCCTTGGCTACATGTGTGTGCAATTTTTTTTTGGATCGGGTCACCCCTTTGGACGCAATACCCCGAAATAGGTGGGCCACTTACTAAACAGTACCCAAATTATATATTTTAATAGTGTTTAAAAAGGGAAAACAGGTGATTTAGTGAATTCTTGTCGGGGTAATTGCCCGTAAACAACGAAATTTAACAAAAGTTTTTGTTTATCGATAGTGACTAAAGCATTTATCCCCATCGATAACATCGATGGTTCCATCGATGGTTTAGAAGTACTAGTAAACATCGATGTTTCCGAAGCATCGATGTTGTTTTTGCATTTCTATGATACAGTGATTATTAAATATATAGAAAGTCGTTAGTTGTGTTTGTTTACAAATTATCCAGTAACTTGCCAACAACTCTCCAGTAACTTTATTTCTAAAAATTGGCTCTCATATAAAAAATTGCCAAAAAGGTACGCGAACGCAAATCCAGTAATAATTTGCTAGTTTCACGAACATTGGTTGTTTATTGGCAGCAAATTCGGGTTGACTTCGCGAGAGTGCACCACGCTTTGAACAAAATTACTTTATGGGGGGAGGGGGCTGCAATTTAGTTTGGCATCCTTGGAGCTCCGCATTAAGGTAGCTATGGAACGGTAGAGGGAGTTCTCCTGATTGGAAATATATATACTTTTAACCGCCGGAGTTTAAGGCTGATTCACATACAACTTTCATGTTGTTGTAACAGCATACAAATTCCCCAAAGAGATTTTGGGGAGTGTTGCTGGAGTGACAGTCCTTGGCCAGATATAAATCTGGGTCGTTCCGGTTACGTAGACCCGACTGTCGTGGGAACGATACAACTTTCATCGCTTTGCTTGATAGTTCTTTGCTTTGACATATAAGATCGATGTAGGCATATGCATGAGTATGTTCACATAAAAAACGTTTAAAGCAAAGCAAAGCAAAACGAAACAAAATCTTGGGCAACTCTCAACTTTTGTCCCCTTTGGCAATCAGCTGTCTACATTTATCTTTTCTCGTGCGCTTGCATTTGAATTTAATGACAAAAATAGGGTAAATAGGAATTATTATTGCTATTATTAATGCATGTTATCTATTTTACAGATACAAATATGGAGGAAAAGGAGAACGCAATAGCTGTCAAGGCGTTTATTGTAGCATACCTACCTTCTGCGTTTCACTCTTTGTTGTCAAAGTTTGAACTGTCAAGCAAAACGAGGAAAGTTGTATGTGAATGGCCCTTTATAGTTTTTAAGTTATTTGTTGTTAAAGTTTGTAAATTGAACTAACCTCCCGGCGCTATTTCACACAATAAACACTATATTTATGTACACACTTACACATGTACACACGGCAAAATAGTTGCATTAAAACCCCGGGCTGAGATTTCCATTTTAATTAATTAATTAATTAAGTAAAACGCGTTTATAAATGTCTTCACAAACGTTTGCACATTTCACAAACAAGCAGAAATAACAATTACGGACAGTAACAAAATGTGTGCTACCATACGTTAAAAAAAATACACCACAAATAAGTGCGTATAATTAGGGAGTATAAGTGTACAATACGTACATTGCTCTTATTAAAAATAATAATATTAGGATCGATAGGGGTCTTACTCCTGATCATAATGGTATAATTTTTTTTTCGGGGGGAAATAATATTTACTGGTGTTATTGTAGTTCAAAGTACACAATTGTAGAAAACGTACATCGATAATTTGATTTTTCCACAAAAATCTATACTTCGATAAATAATGAAAATTTTTAATAAAAAATCGCGCGATTTTTTATTACAAATTTTCGCCTGCGCTGCTTTTTCTCCTTAAAAATCAATCAGCCTCATTGCGAGAGTCGTGCCGAATGCAAGTCGTTTTTCGAGAGTCGAATCGTAACGAAAATTTAGCGTCATTGCCTAAAATTTCCACTCGACTAGTGTATTAAAACGGAAGAACTTGGCGGCACTGCATAGTTTTCGACAATTTTCGTCGTTTACTTATTTCAGCACGACAGTAGACAATGCTAACCGATCTGGGCGGGGTTGTTGTAGCCGCTAAAACAACAACAACAACAATGCTAATGTTGTCGAGTCGTACAATTCAGCCTAATTTACGACTTACGCAATGAGGCTGAATACTTCGATAAATAATGAAAATACATTTGTTAAAAAGAACATTCTTTTTTTATAAAAACTTGTTTTTTCTATTTTCAATCAACTTTTTTATTTATTCAAAATCGCCCGATATCTAATTTGCCATAATTTCTTTTATTAAAAAATCCCACGGTTTCTGTTAGTTGGGTCATATTCCACATCAAACTGCTCAGTTTGCCTAAGAATATTCCGTTTTTCCCCCTGTTTCAAACGGTTCCCTAGGGGCCTGTGGTAGGAGCCCAGGGGGAGGTTCGCCTTTTTAGAAAGCGGGGACCGTCCACTTTCTAGTGGGGGGATTGGGGGCCGCCATCTCTCCTCCGCCCCGTCCCCTCCGCCCCCACCCCAAAAACGATGTGAGCGCTACTAAACATTTCCCGCGTGGTGCACTCTGGCGAAGTTTCCCCGCAAATTCTTAATAAAAAGTATATTTTATATTTAAATAAGTTCATTTTGTGAAATTCAACAATAAAAACCCACAAACAGTTTCCTTATTAGTTATATTTCATCCAGCACATGCAAACAGCTGTTTTTCGTACTGGAAAATTCTTACAAGTAAAAACTTATCCAGTAAAAACTTGCAACTTCAACTGCCATTTTTCGTTCGCTCAATTTGTGTACAAAAACTCCAAATCATGAACATTCGTAGAAACTTACTGGATTTGACTGGAAATGAGTAAACAAACACAACTATTGAAATAAGGAACTTCTGAATGTACCTGGAGTTCTTGCTGCTTGCCGAAAACCGATCAACGAAGGAAATCCATCCATTAAAATTGTATCCTTCTAAAGGAAGGGTGAAGTGAATGAAATTAATTCCAAACTTAATACGCTAACACCATGCCATTCAGCCGTAAAGGCAAGGCTAATGATCGACGAGCGCTGATCGAAAATGACCAGATTCTATACCGGGGAAATGCTATTGACGACGGTGATTCCGTAAATGATAGCTTTAACCTGAGCTCCGACTATAGCGATGAAGATGACATTAATTGTATGCCTGTTATACTGCCACCAATGGAAAACAAAGAGGCCTCTGCAATAGTACAAATGTATAGCCAAGTATCCAATGCACCACCAGATCGCTTCAACTTCACATACGCTGTATTTTACTTGTTGGGAATAGCTACAATGACTCCATGGAATTTCTTCATAACAGCAGAGGATGTAAGTTAAAATTTAATGATAGAAAAACAAAGGGGTTGACTTTAGTGTACGTCGACATGTGTGTGTTTTAGCAAATCAGTCGCGAATTTTCTCATGAAACTATTTTTTTTTTTTGGGGGTTTTGCGCAGTTTGGCTGGTTTTCACCACCGCCAGGTTATTCCTCTGCTTTTAATATATGTATGTCTCTGTTTGTTTTATTCCAATGATGTGTCCAAACGTCGCTCCACTGATACACAATGGTAATACCGCTGAGGGCCAGAACCACGTGCAAAAGTTTCTGCTTATATATGTATCATACGTCTTATTCCTTTCAATTCTTTATGTTAGTTATTATGTTAGTTATGTCAGAATGTATTATTCAGATTAAAAATTTAAATGAGTGGGACCTAGCTCCTCATGACGCCAGGTTATTCCTCCAATTTGGTAATTTATAGAATTTTAATGGAAATGAACTATGCCCTCATCGTGCAAGGTTATTCCTCCAATTTCATAATTTTATAATTATTCGTCAAATTATATTTTTAGGTTTTTTGAAAAGATGAATAAATAAATTAGTAACCAAACTTTACAAAAGTGAGTGTTAAAATAATGCGTAGTCCCTTGACTACAAGTGTGTCGAATTTTTTTTGGATCGGGCCACCTCTTTGGATGGAATAGCCCGAAATAGTTGTGAGCGCTACTAAACCCCACCCAAAAGATTTTTTATGGAACTGTACGATGCAGTTAAGAATGTTACTTTTTTATTTCACAGTTACTTTGTTCATACTGACAATTAAGTAGATTGTGACGGTTCGTGCTACCGTATCCAACATCTAAAATCCTCCAAATTTTGTTATTAATTTTTTGTTTATTTACAAACATTTTGTTCTTAGAATCGAAATTTGAACAAGCAAAGTGTACATATTTTGTTGGGTACGGCTCGGTTATTTGTACCATAATTTTGGGTTATTGTGTCCAAACGCTTAACCCAAAGCAAAAAAATTTTAACACACACGTGTGGTCAAACAATTAAACGTTAGTTTAAAATAAAGATTTCTAATTTTCAGATACAAATTTATGAATAAATTCGGTTTGAAATATGAACCTTTTTGCAATAAATACAACGGGAAAAGGTATTTTGCACAAAAATCCTGTGGTTGGCGTAACCCGAGTTTACATTTTCTCTGTCCAAATGCCAATTTTACCTACGTTTTCAATTGGCCCCCCTCCGTCTCCGCCCCAAAACCATTGCACAAATAACCGAACATTTCCCCTTTTGTTTTTTGCAAGAGAAGAGGTCTAATGCTCAAAAAGTAGATAATTTTGTTTCTATTTTTAATATTTTTATTGAGCTTTGTACCACGATTGTTTATTAGGAAAAATTGAAAAAGCAACAAAGTCTAAGCGGTAGAAGTTATAGCACTATTTCGGAGATCACCACATCTCCTCATCAGACTTCTTTTT